AATTGTCAGTACTGATGAAAAGGCAGCTTTATGGTTTTAGATGTCTCAGAGAATCTTAAATGTATCGGACAAAATTACATGCATACATGTATGTATCATGTATGTATATATATATGTATATATGTATATTTGTATAGGTCAATAGGCATGCCTCATTGAATCATGACATGATGAGCTCACTCATGACTCACCTCACACCATACATCCGACCTCTGCGTGCCCCCAAGCGTCTGTCTTTAACCAAAGCCCAATGCTCCTTTTTCTGCTTCTTTCCCATTTTGCCCCTTGACTATTATTTTATCTTCTTCCAAGTTCAAAATTACCTAATGCCCGTCTTTAATATCCCAAACGACAAAACTACCCTTATGAGTTTTTTTTTTTTTTTGGATAAATATCCTTATGAGTGTTGGATATGAATATGCTATTTTACATTATATATTGTATTGGATTTTCAGATAAGGAAAGGCTCCTAATATTAACAAACTTATTCCTTATTTTTTAGTAAATATTTTATAGTTTAGATTGTAAAGTAATTTTTTGATTGGATATATACTATTTTTATAATGTTTTTGTTATTTTTTTTATACAAAAACTTTTGAAGAATATTTTTTAGTTTTTGCATACATTCATAATTCCGTGGATTCTTTTGAAGTAGCCATTTTTAGTAATTTAGATTTGTGACATTTTTATTTAACACTATTTATATATTATTTCTTTTATTTTTTTGGTTGAATACATATTATTTTTTTTTTTTAAAAAAAAAAAACTTGTTAGGAATATTTTGTAGTTTTTGTATACATTCATAATGCATTGGATTCTTTTGGAGTGGCCATTTGTAGTAATTGAGATTTGTGACATTTTTTATTTAACACAAACTTACAACATGTGTGTTTTCTTCTCTCTCTTTTTTTTTTTAATATATATATTGTCATCTTCTACAGTTTTTATTGTTGTTAGGAAAATAACAATGTGTCTGTTTCCATCACAAATTTATTGTCAAAGAAAATTAACAAAATGTTTATTTTCATGTTTAATTTGTTACATACATGCGAATCTTGCTTTTATTAGCAAATTCATGCAATTCTAGTTGGGAATCACAATTTCATTTAAGTAAATACATTAAATCTAGTCATAGAAAATAGTCAAACACCTACAAATAATTATATCATCATATAGTTTTGTTGTTAGTTGAATCTTTAGAAACATGTTTAGTGGATGAAATAATTATTTTTTCCAAACCCAGTTTTGAACTCCTCCATTTAGTTATTTTCTCTCTTAGAAAAGAGTCTGCAACAAGGTTTAAGTAGATGTATTAAATCTAATTATGAAAATAGTTACATTAAACAAATAGTTAATAATCTTTTTTTTATAATTTGTTATTGTTTTTTTGAGAAAAATATATATCAATCTTAACTTTTAAAAAAATTAT